CCCCAAAACCCCAAAACCCCAAAACCCCAAAACCCCTTAGCAGTTTCCTCGAGTTGAAATTTCTGGGAATATAATAATATTGGTAAAAGAAGATTTGGAAAAATTATCAGGACTTTTCTACTTTTTGATCGGATTTAAGGCAAGTTTTACTAAATATTATAGATGAATTTGATTATGAAATAAAAAGAGATGTGAAGAAACAAAATAGCAAAAATATTTTTGTTACATTAGGATAGTGCTTTATAAAAGTATATGTCTTAGGGTTGGAAAATAAAGAAAATTAATTTCAAAATATAAAAAAATTCATCAGACTGATGAGAGGCTATATTTGTCTTGTAAATTAAACATTTCTAATTACATATTCCTTGATTCAAAATTTTCATTAATAACTATTAACAGGTTAATTTGTGATAAAAATCTTGAAACCCTAACTTTTGCTAAATTACTACCAACTCTCTTATAGCTTCATGATTTAGCTCTAAAATATCTCAAAGATCGTCCATATCTCCTTCCAATCTTAACCTCTACAACATCACAAATATTTCATCTCCTCAAAGCCAGGTCAATTTCTTCAAAATCCCCTTTTGTCCCTCAGAGGAGCCAAAAAATAGGTAAAATTTATAGTAAAAATTAAGAAAACCTTTAGACTCTAGCGAGCCTTACCGTTCTTATTCCTATACGACCCTACTCCTGACTTAGGACCAGAGGGTTTATGCGTTGACTTGTGGGACAACTTACTTCCTGCCTTAGTGCTTGCTTTTGAAATAGTAGACTTTGATGTCCCCTTAGCTCCTCCTTTAGACCCTCCCTTTGTCTTAGTCTTAGCTCTTTCCTTCTTAAGCTGCTTAGTAATATCATTCATGGCGTCTCTATCACTATCTCTGAAGTAATCATATTTCCACATTTTGTATTTCCCAGCTGTTGAGGAATTCGACTGCTTCACTAGTTTGATTGGATTACCTAGAGCTAATATTATTCAACCAGAAATTTTCTAAGCTGGGCTTACTGCATAGTGCTTGCAGATGGAAGCCAGACTGGAAAATTGGCGGTTTAAGAGATTTAGAGCAAGGATAAAGGGATAGGACTTAAGAGAAGAGAGAATGGAAATTTTGAAGTTGAGGATGATGGATATAGAGGTTAAGGACTGAAGGAAATGCGTCGGGCTATCTATCACAGGCTTTTGGGAAAGTAGAAATTAGGTGAACATAGGTATAATGAGGGGTTTTATACCATAACTCTCATCATTTACATCAACTCAAGTGAATATTTAGAGTATATGAGAGTTTTTACCGGTAGAATGATTCAATTAAAAATTCAGCAGAAATTAGAACTTGTTTATTTCTCTTCAAATAATCTTCACCAGGTAGTAAATATTAGTTTTGAAAAGAGTAGTATGAACCCAAAATGTTTAGGAGCACGTCACATTAATAGTACAGTAGTTCTACATTGCTTTTAACCAGCATTAACTTCTAAAATGAAAGGGCTTAAACAAAACAAAAACGGTAACTGAAAAGACAATTTCAGATATGTTTATCACATCTAGCATGACTTAGCGTAAGAAGTGGCGGATTTATACAAGAATGTTCCAGAATAATCAGGACTAATAGTACTTTAAGGTGCTTACTTTGAGAGGCAGGCTTGAGTTTCTTTGGAATGACAAAGTTAAAGTCAGGAGTATTCTCATCTTCATCTTCCATCATCAATCAGTCGTTTCATCAGGTGCCAATCTGGGCTCATTTGAATCAATTGTTATTCCTAAGTTTTAAGTACTTGCTCGATGAAAACTCTTTGACTAGTGTCAATAGGGACATCATTTTTGGTCTAACCTGAGGTGTTTTAGCTTCTTCCTCAGTAATATCAGTTGTAGATTTATTTTCATTGGTTTCATTAGGAGATGATGAATGATAGAAAGGCTCTTTTAAGACGTCATAGTGCTTGTTAAGGAAATAATATTCTCTTGAATCAGGCTGGAGGTAAGTGAATGTATGTTTTTGGTTTTTACATCCGCCTGCATGTACACCGGTTGAAAATCTCACAGCTTCTGCTTGTCATCAAGGATAAACGCCAGCATTAGATCCATATAAGAATTCTGGTTGTTCTGTATGATAGGTTCAATGGTCTGATTCTGAAAAGACAAATCTTTGCCCTCAAGCTGTGCATTCATCAGTAAGTAATCTTGCCCAAACCTTCCAAAAGATCCTTCTCCAGGATACATTATTCTTTTTCAGAAAGGAGAAAAATTCATCAATACTCCAGTTAGCATCAGCTTGATGATTAGCAATGACCCTTCCACGATAATCAATAAAAATTCCTGCTTTGGGGCAAGTCATCCACTTGGATTGTGCTTCAGTGTACAGGATGTTTCAATGAATACATCTAGATAACTTATTTTGATCAATCTTCAATAAATCATCTAACTTATGAGCATACAATTTAGATTGGAGAGAATCTTTTGGGTCCTTAAAAGCATCCAGCTGGTCTAACGTCATAGCATCGGCAAGTCTCTTTAACACTTCTCTACTTAGTCAGCTCATGTCAATCGGTACTTTGACCACTTCTGAAATATTATTAACTATGAACTCGATGCATTCATCAATGAGTCTTCTGATAATCAAAAATTCTGCTGAAATGAGTATTGGAATAACGTTCTGTTTCACCAATTTAGTTGCCTTATTGTTAATGTAGTTCATTAACCATTCAAAAATAGTGACATCTCAGTGCACACTGATGTCAATATCCTCTGCAGAGTCTGTGGACTTCAGATGGCTTTCAAAATATTTCATCTCTCGTAGAAGAATGCTCTTTTTGCACTCAAAGTTCTTGTTAATATTCTTACGCTCATCTGTCACTTTTATGACAATAGTCTCATCAGCAAGCGTTTGCTTAGGAAGCGTGACAACCCGAGGGTTGTTTTCTTTGGGATTTGGATTAGTGCTAGCCATCCCATTCCCTTTTAGAAGAGACTGAGACATTAATGTCTTAGGTTTGGTTGACTTGGGAGGAACCCCAGCTGAAGAAGGAGATTTCCCTATTAAGGGATCTAGTCTTGTATGAGCACCAAAGCCTCGCCTTTGGTAGAGGAAGTCATTTACTTTTCTCATATTGAAATTTATTTATTATTTTATCACTATATTATTTTTAGTAGGTCTATTCTGGATGCCCACCCGGGGTTTTGGGGTTTTGGGGTTTTGGGGTTTTGGGGTTTTGGGGTTTTGGGGTTTTGGGG